AGAGAGAGAGAGAGAGAGAGAGAGAGAGAGAGAGAGAGAGAGAGAGAGAGAGAGAGAAAGAGAGAAATCTATACACTTGTGCTGTGCTAAAGAAGCCGGGAAAATATTGTCAATACAATGCACATGATTCATCGGTTGCATCCTGCCTACTGCCTTCAACTCTCTTCACCTTCTTCCCCCTTTTTTTCACTTCTTTACGTAGTTTTCTTTTTCATGTTCTTCTGTCTCTAAGAGCCCCTTTGCGAGGGCGGATTTGCTCTTGGCAGACAAATCCGCCTGTCCGAGAGTTTTATACGGGTGCACCCCAGCGAGGATAAATCCTTGGAAGCACCTTTCTACTGCTTCTTTCTCCTCTCGCTTCATCCTTTGGCTCATACGATGCTCAAACATGATTGTAGAAAGAGGAGAGAGACGGGGAGAAACACATAACAATGCATGTGCTTCTTATTTTTGTTGAGGTTTAAGTCGTTTCTTGGCTTTGTTTGATAAATTCATTCTTGGTTGACGGGTAAACAGGGGAATGCTTCATGTTGACTCCTCACTGAATGTTCAATCTCACTTCGAGTGAGTCGGTTATCTGGGAAGATTGACGAATGTCCGATTTTATGATGTTCAATCCAAAGTTAGAGGAACTAGGACTTTGTTATGAGGATGCTATATTAGGCAGTTAATTGACACGATTACCCATTTTTTATTTTGAATAAGCTTCATATTTCACAAAGGTTCACATTTGGATTGATAGATTGAGTTCATGCAGTAGGTACAAAAGATACTCTCGGCAAGGGTGCCCCTTGGAAGCACCTTTTTAAAGCTTCCTCCTCCTCTCGCTTCATCCTTTGGCTCATACGATGCTCAAACATGATTGTAGAAAGAGGAGAGAGACGGGGAGAAACACATAACAATGCATGTGCTTCTTATTTTTGTTGAGGTTTAAGTCGTTTCTTGGCTTTGTTTGATAAATTCATTCTTGGTTGACGGGTAAACAGGGGGATGCTTCATGTTGACTCCTTACTGAATGTTCAATCTTACTTGGAGTGAGTCGGTTATCTGGGAGGATTGACGAACGTCCGATTTTATTATGGTCAATCCAAAGTTGGTGGAACTAGGACTGTGTTACGATGATTCTGTACGCAGCAGTTGATTGACACTATTCCAGATTAAGAACAGGCTCCACAACCCGTGAGGATTCATCTTTGAATTGGTTCAATAAATCCATGTAATACGTACAAAAGATTCTCTCAAACAATTCCCTATTGAATACAAGTTTCTACGTGCATCACTAGAATTACCCCAGTGCATCTCAAAGTCTCCATTGATCCGGACATAAAAATTGAATGAAGGTATATTAAACTACAACAGTCCAATAAGACCATGAGAACTCCGAGTGAAAGACTCTTTTGTTCCTCACTCTTTTAAATTTCACTTTACTTTGTGTTCGCTCAACCAGAAAAATTTCCCAACGACACAAGGCAACTCCTGACAGCATCAGCATGAATAGCAGCATTATGTATTCCTGAAATACGAACATCGTATAAGTTACCACGAAAAATGAAAATGATGTTCAGCATGAAATGATTATCTCACGGATGATAACTCCAGTTGTCGGCTGTTTGACTCGCAGATGGAGGAAAAAAAATGAAAATAAAGTTGACGGAGTATTTCTCAAGCTGAAAGACAAAGCCTCCTTGTGAATACAATCTAGAAAGTTTCGAAGGGTCGAATATTCATGGAGGGCCCGTCGCCGCTGCTCTGTGGGTTAAAGTCAATGAGGGGTTTGAGCCCAAAAACTAGCGGCGGAGGTGAGGTTAGTGTGTTATGCCACTCGCCCAGCGCATATATACGACCCTATCCTTTGTCCTCATTTCTCCACTCTACCTTCCACCGCGAATGCATAATTGAACTCTCGATTTTCCTGCATATTTCATCGTTCGGAAATGCTGTTCACCCAGAAAAGAGGAAAAGAGAAAGGAGCATTCAGGGTGAACGATGAAGAGGGTAACGATTACACATTACCCTCTCAAGTCTCACACGACTTTTATTGGATTTTACGTCAACATCATTTTCAGTTTTGTACGGAATATTTTTCCTGAGCATACTTTACAACCAATTGTTTCGCCTCTCTCACAGCAGCACGGAAGACGATCAAACGATCTTCATGAATTACGTCATGAAAGAAAAGTACAGAATAGGCTAGGTTAGGTTAAGTTGACGCTTAGGAAATGTTGTCAAGAGGTATTCCATACACTTTATCGGGGTCTTTTTTTGTCTTTCACCTTGTTTTTTTTACCACATGGTTGCTTCTTCCTTCTCACTTGTGTTGGAAGCTGGAGGCCGACGACAGGCGTGGCGAAGGGAATAAAAGACCAGGGTGATAAGCCGGAGGAACGAGGCCGACGCGGCCCGATGAACGATGACTCCGATCGTTGGATGAACGTCTGACTTATCGGACCGCAAACGTTTTTTTTTCCTCCACTCAGCCGCACACTTAACCATTGGGTGCATCGACTTATCGATCCTTCGCCGGCTTGTCCTGGTGCTTTAGCAAATCGCTCTTCCTCCGTATTCTCAATATGATCTTTTCCTCAAGCACATTCCTATCTTCATCTTTAGACTATAAATCTGATTCGACGGGTATTGATCTACCCGATGTTCAAGATAAAGTGTTAATTTTTCATTTTTATGATTGCAGGTTGATCTACGGCATCTTGAACAGGGCGAGGACTCAAATACAATCGACCTCGGTATTGATTTGACCGACTACTACATCTCCGTAGAGTGGGACATATTAAAAGTGCCTGCCATGAGAAACGAAAAGTTTTACATATGTTGCGAGGAGCCCTATCCCGATATAATATTCTACCTAACATTAAGACGTAAAACCCTGTTCTACACGGTTAACCTGATAATCCCATGCGTTGGTATATCATTTTTGTCGGTACTTGTGTTTTATCTACCAAGTGACAGTGGTGAAAAGGTATCACTATCAATATCAATTCTACTGTCATTAACCGTGTTCTTTCTACTTCTCGTTGAGATAATACCGCCCACATCGCTAACAGTACCGCTTCTTGGCAAGTACCTGTTATTCACAATGGTCCTAGTGACACTGTCAGTGGTTGTGACAATAGCGGTATTGAATGTTAACTTTCGTTCACCGGTTACCCATCGCATGGCCAAGTGGGTGCGCGTTGTGTTCATTGAGATACTGCCAAAGTATCTATTCATTGAGAGACCGAGTAAAGATGATAATGGTGATGGAACTAATGGTGATGATTATGATCCTGATGATGCTGATGACAAACCGCCCGAAGTCATACTCACCGATGTATTTCATGTACCACAAGAGACTGACAAGTATGATCCATATGGTAAGAGATACAGTGACAATTATGAGGTTGCTGATTTACCTGGATTACCAGCAATACCACCAGTACCAAAGACATCAGTACCAACGATACAGGAATTGGTCAGTGATAGGTATGACACAGCAGCTGGTCCAGTTTGTCCTGTTGCACCGCGCTTTGATGAATCACTGTCAGGTATACAGCTGACAGGCGCTGATGATGATATTTTTGCACCAACAAGTCCTGGTTATGTACACGAGGATATAAGTCCAACGTTTGAAAGACCACTGGCGAGGGAGATCGAGAAGACGATCGAGGACGCCAGATTCATTGCTCAACATGCCAAGAACAAGGACAAGTTCGAGGGCGTAAGTAGCAATTGTTTTTACTTGTTGTTTGATGGTTTGTCATTCATCTCTCTTTCTAGTTTAATACAGAATCTTGTTTCCTTAATTGGTTAGACTTCCAGCATAGGAGTATGTGCCATATTCTAATTCACTTTATGTCAAATCAAACCATGTCAAATCAAACTTAGAAATGTTCCTCAACCAGCAATACAGAATCGGTATGCAAGATTTGGTGTTATCAGTCATGCTGATTTGTGTTTCTAAACTGCTGAAACCATTTGGGTCGATAAAATTAGTTCCCTTTAGTTCTGCCAGTTCCAATCGCCAACGCTGTTGGTCGTTAATGAGTCAAAAGGCGTGTTAGCGGGCCACGTATATACCCAGCGGGATAGCAAGTTTGTGCTCCTCTAATCTATGACTCCGTTGGGATCGCTGGAACTTTAAAAGTCTTTGGAAAAGAGTTCTGAATTGGTCTGCACATCAATCTCTCCAGATTGAGAGCGTAAAGTCATTTTTAAAAGATGAAAATGCATTCACTTTTTCCATAGAAAAAACATCGTAAAAAAATGAAGCTTCCTTCAGATACAATGTCTGACGTTTTTATGATGTGAAAGCATTCTCGGCATGAAAATAAATGGCATTTGAACGCCGTGAATTAGCAATAAATTTTCCATCACAAGCCCTCAGCAATATTTTTAATATTTCTCTTATCAGATATTATTGATCGAGTTTTCGATATTCAATCTGTTTTTCTGTATCGTCGATATCGCCTGTATCTTTTTTTGTTTTCTACTTTATCTCCGCCGTTCTCTTTTCTTTGTCTTTTATTCGCGAATTCGTTCGCATTTTCGCTCCACTGCTTTCAATTGGCTTTCAGCCGGGGGATCCAATGCATTCATTGCCGTCTGGTAAAGTTTACGGTTCGCTAACGATTCTACCGGATGAAATTTTCTCGTCCATTTTTTCCCCTTCCATTTCCAATTTTTTTTTCTGTAATTCCACCCTTCCCTACTTTTGGCAATAGTGATGAGTACGGAAGTCCAAATAAAAGTGAATATAATTGAAATAAATGGTTGAAATGAATAACAGTGGAGAGAGTAATGTGGAAATAAAGTAATATAATTTTCCCGGATGTGCTTCAAGAATGGAAACGAGAGAGGACAAGAAGTAAGAAAGAGGGGAGTAAGAAAAAAATACACAATGAATAAAGAATTTTTCATAGAAATCCTTGGATACGGTTGAAATAAGTGGAATTTACGGGAAGAAATTGCTGGTGGAAGCCCCACGGGAGGATATCCCAGACCCGGAGACGAACCAGCCCAAGCTAAAGTAGAAAGAGAAAATCTCTTGGAAATACTTTTTCGATTCGCCCGGAAGCATTCGTAGCGCAAATACAGGGGAGACAGACTCGTGGAAGCGTTACGTATGCCTCTAGGGGTCGCCCAAATAGTGGAGGAGAAGGTAAAGACAGAAGTGGAACAGATAGTGGAATGAGATTTCGTATGGGCTCAAGAAGGAAAGGGAGTGAGGGGGATGTTGGGCAAGGATGGGGTAATGTGGAATACAGACGAATAAATTACATCGGCAAAGTATCTACGAGGAACGCACTGCGGCAGGCCCCTGCAATTCGCTTGCCAAGTGTTACTCTGCAGGAAAGGGGAAGGAGGATGATGAGGATGGTGCTGGAGATGTTATGTGGATAGTCTGAATTTGCATCTTTGCTCAAGTTGGAGAAAGTCCTTGTTGGACGGAACTTGTAAGACTATTGAGGGTTCCGGAGACAAACAATGCACGTGCTTTGTAATTCAAGAGATTATTTTCAGGGATAAGAGGTTCATAATTAAAGGACATACCGCAAACCGCTTAAATAATCAATTCTTCTTCATTCATATTTCTTTTTGATTCGTATTGCTTTAAAAAATTGGTCAGGATAACCAATTGTGATACAATGATTTGCGAGGGCAGAGACATCAAGTCAGATAATGGAAAGAAATCTTTCGTCTCTAGTTCTTTTTGATTCGTATTGCTTTGAAAAACTAAGAATGTCAAAGTTCCCCAAGAGATGCCTTCAATAGTGATCCCGAAGCATCAGTCCAAAGAACTTCCACCACTCCAACCTCAGCTTCTAATTCCATATGCACACTGATAACAGGAGCTTCTGGTTCCCTTGATTGCCCTCGAGGTAATGAGGAATCAGCGCGAAACCATCGCACTTGAACAACCACCAAACGAAGATCGTGGAAACTGATTCAAAGCTTCAAGGGCAGAAATTCGGTAACTGCAAGTGTTATGCTAAATTTCAGGGGAAGATAATACAATGGAGGGGTGAGAGCACTTCAACCGTTGTCTGTCATCTCAAAACCATCTTGACACACTGGATAAGGGGGTTAGATCGCTGAATGTTTTAGCTACAGTGACTCACGCTTTTGTCTAGTTCGTTAGTGACTTAAATCACACAATGTTGTTGTATCACACGTTCACATTCTATTCAACTTTCTGGATAATGAGGCGGCTGAAGAAGAGAGTGGGGTAACAAGACAGAACGAGGAACAATCGTCGAAATTTATTTACTCTCTTGACAATTTGGTTCATTCCGTCAGGAAGAATTGTTTATTCGTAAAAACGAGAGAGAGAGAGAGAGAGAGAGAGAGAGAGAGAGAGAGAGAGATGAATTCGCTTGTCGTCAGCAAGCTTAATGCATTCAATTTTAACAATTCTCAGCATCATTTTTATCATAATTGTCTTTTCTTTGTGCTTTCAGGTCGTGGAAGACTGGAAATACGTTGCAATGGTTCTAGACAGAATATTCCTCTGGTTATTTACAGTCGCCTGTGTTGCCGGTACTGTACTCATTATTCTACAAGCACCAAGCTTGTACGATGAGACAAAACCAATAGACGTTATGTACAGTAAAATTGCCCAGAGAAGAATGATGCTGATGAACATGGGCCCAGAGGAGGACGACTAGTTGACGTTTATTCGCGGCATGAGTACCGCGTTTACTGATACAATCGCTCGTGTTACATTGACGGTAAATAATGTCAAAATGGCGACTATTATTTTTACTGGGTGGGCCCCAGTATCTATATCGCTGTTATAATGCATAACACGAGTCAACATATTGCGTCGTCAATAGTTGAAACAATCTGGTGGTGCTCAATTGTCCCTGGGATGCTCTGGACACTTTGGTGCAGTAGATAAAAAAAAAACACTTTTTACTGTCGTTTAATGGCGCTTGAAAGAAACGGCACGTTCGCGTGGGAATCACGAACGATTAATAATTGAGGAGATAAATGATGAAACATTGAGGAAGCTAACTACTGAACAATCAAGTCCGTTCTTGCCGTCCAAGTCTTGGTCATTTTTTTCTATGATTGAGGGCTCGAATGTGAAGAGACTGGGATGGCAAGCGAACAACTGTTGTTTATCGGGAGTTTTAAAGAAAGTGCCAAATATCCAAAAATTAAAAAAAAATAAAAAAAAACTAACGTATTTTTGTAAAATCAGGTTTCATACGTAAGGGGCTATAGAGCCATCGCGGCGTTACCGATGTCGGGGGAGACTTTTGCCGAACTGCCGATTTTATAATTGAAGAAATGAAACGTTATTTAAACAAAGAAAAAAACATTAAGTAATACAATTGATTATTAATAATTAATTATGAAACGAAAATGTCGAGGATACAGCTTGGAGAGAAATAAAAACACATACACAATTTCACGAGCATTTAGTAAACACACGCACAAAATGAGGTTATGTAGTTGAGTATGGATGCCTCATTACTCTTTTTTCCATAATAAAACTGAAATGATGATGTGAGGGGGAAAATCAACGAGGGGATGAGCATGAGGAAAAGGAAACATTGTAACAAAATAGAAAAATACATTGCTTGTAAACAACTGCCAATTTCAGAATGGCCTCTATCCAACCGGTAGAAGAGGCGTGAGAATGTGCGCAAGAGGGCGAGGATGACAGTGGGTTGGGAGTTGAAGGGAATTGAATAGAAATATATTTCTTTTTTTATTTGGTCGGTGTCATAGGAGGCGTGTGTGCGGAGGCTTTTGCGTGATGGTATGTGAACAGGTCACGCATTCTGAGAATAAGGTCACGATGAGATTGTGGGAGCGTAGAGGAAAAAATATATGGATGGCAAAGATCAGCTCCGAGACAACGAAAGAGAAGCTGAAAGAGATAAATGTACATAATTTAAAGGGATAGGGAAGGGGTGCGGGAGATGAAAAAATCATGTTGTTGAGAGAAATGAGAGATGATTGAAAAGGGATTGAAATAAACTTTCCGCAGCATTTCAAAGCGGGATATCGACAGACTTGTGAGAAATGCCTGGACCTTGATATCTCGCTGTGATACTCGGAACTTCATTTTTTTGGGCATTGAATTCGACAGAACGGAATAATGGGAGGGGAAAAAGGTGCAGAGAAAAATAGTATCGAGAAGTTGTTGGAATTTTGTCCAATTTATTATATAAAATGATGAAAGAAAGGGGGAAATGAAAAAACGGCGCTTCCAACCCCATCCCCCTCGCTATGCGTTTATAATAATCAATTTATTTGCTCATTTAAAGATAATGGTAATGTTATATGAATATTATATATATGGATATATACTAAATATGCGGGTGATTTCACCAATCACTGGGTCAGTTTTTAATTTCATCACCGTCAAATTACATTTTCTTACCCTGACGAAACGTGATGTTTAAATTGTGGGATGTCGTTACAAATAATCGGTTCATTTTTGTACATTTTTCGTACATCACTCGTACATACAATTCACAATCCTTCAGTGTAATGTCTAATATATTTTCACACGTTCAAAGCAAATCGATCACTCGTGTCAGTCAAAAATTGCCCAGATATTCAGTAAAATCACCCTCATATTACACTATATATAATAGGTATTAATGAAAAAAAAAACTTTATTAAAAATACCAGGAAATACGATGGAAACTGAGTGGAATAACGGAACCGAAATTTTGTGTACATGAAAACGATAAGGAAAAAAACAATAATTGATTGTTGAATTGTGAGAGGACATTGGGACGATTTTTCGTAATATATCACGCTTAGCGACATCTCGGTGGGACGTGTGAATAACAACCCCAACATTTTATTTTGTAAATGTGTAATTACTAACAACTCCACGTGAATATCCATAACCATTGAATAAGGAATTCTACATTTTTTTGCCCCAAATGTTTGAATCAATTGTGAACGCGACAACAGTGCGAAAAACTGTGGGTGACTGCTTGTAAATGGAGGTATGAATGGTAAAGAGAACGTGACAGCTGAAACTGCAACAATAATAATAATAATAAATAGTCGTAAAGAGAGGGTGCGTTGAAGAATTTCGTAATAAACGTTTGATACGAGTGCAACGTGAAAATGTGAAATTATGAGAGATATTGAGTTCATGTCGAACTAGAAATGCTACTGAGGCAATTAATCTGAGACATCGTCTCCTCGACAGGATCGATTGATTGACTTCAACTCACAACTTCTTTCATCCACTTTTTACCAATGAGGGAGCGAAAACGCTCTTCCTCTATCTATTGTTTTATTCTTTTTTCCAAGCTTCAGACGACCAGTTTGTCATCGCGTTTGGCAGATCTGGTACAAGTGTTTGCTGTTTATCCTTTCCGAGCGAATGGGCAACTCAACGTCAACCGATTGCATTTACTGAACGAACAGGAGACAAATATGACGCGCAGTAATATCTTTTTTTTTTACAAATTTTCAACGGTTCAATATTATTTGTTCAACGAAAATGATCGAAGTGTCGATGACAATATCAAATTGTTTATTTCCACCATCTAGTGCTGACGAGCATATGTTAATGTACGATTGAATGATAACGTTCGATAAATACTTAGATAATGAAGATGAAGTTAGAAAATTTTTTAATGGAAAAGTGTAGATAGACACCTCAAAAAACGCTCAATAATTGTTAAATGTCAGAAGCTCAAATCCATGACACGGTTCACATTTTTATAAAAATCAATTGATTGAGATAATTTGTTAGAGAGCTTTTCTTTTATTTTTGTTTGGAGTTGGCGGCAAATCTCCGATAATCAAGCGTCAAATCATCCGCATTTATAATGATAAGCTTCGACAGATTAGGCGGAATTATCGGGAAAAGTAAAATCAGTATAATTAAATGATTATTTGTAGAGTATGATAGGAGCAATGCACAAGTGAAACTCATGGGTAATCAATAAATAATGATGATTAGAGTTTAAATTCACCGATTGACGAGCAATTATCTCATTAAAATAATTGTACATAACATGAATTCAATCGATCGATCCCGATGCAGGTGGAACTCGAGTGTTTGTGAGAGTGGGAAAGAAAATGATTTAAAAAGTTGGGTAAAGATATAGAAAAAAAAATACAAGAAACTATCGCATGTCTTCCTGGGAGTAGCCTACGTCGTAAGACTATTGCTCGCGTCTCGAACTTTCATGTGCGAGTCGAAATATGAGCAAATACGCGGCGGTACGTCGAGGAAGCGGGATAAGATGTTATAAATGCTGCTCTTGGATGATTTTCTTCAGCGGTCTAACGTCCCATTTCTTTCTTGCATTCCTAAAGGGCTTATTGATGAGGGAAAAGGACAAAAATATAAGTAATGAGCGATCTTACTGTATCTTCACTTCATCGAGGCTATTTAGAACAAGATCAAACAGCATTATGTTTGATGAATACTTTATTTCTCTTCTCTGAATGCTAGGTTGTCCTTGAAACTCATTTTAATCAATCAGCAACCATTCTGTTGAATACTTTTTCATAAGACAAGTTGTGAAATACGACAAGTACCAGGACTATCTAATAATCATTATATCCGTTTTGGAGTACTCCACATTTCGCGAAATGCATCCATCAATTCTTAATTGTGAAACAGTCACATCATGATTACCATCGACTATAATGTAGGTCGCATATAGCAATCTTCATCCTGCAGTAGAATCACATTGTCTCCCCTCTGTTTTTCACTAAAACAATTACGACCCATTTAAAATACATGCGTAATATCGTTAATGGACGAGAGTACAGCATGATGTTAATTTCAATTGATAATTCCGTAGATTTGGACTTGCACCAAATGATGCCGTTCGTAAAATCAACTACGAATGGGCGAGGAAAACAATGTATTGCTGCGTAAAATCTTTATGATAATCGTTATCCTCTGTTTCATTATGCTGTTTATCTACTTTACTTTCAACAACCTTTCAAGTTAGTGGAAATCCGTAAAGATAAACTTTAAGAAACTTCCGATTGTTCATTGAAAAAAAAATTAAAAAGCAAACATTCAGTATTATTCGACCAAGAGCAGCTGACCACCGAAATCGTGGGAAACAATCAACAAATTCACATAAAACTGATAGTACTTTCATGACAATCAGATCACCATTGCTCCAAGTCGTCACCCAGGCGGCCACCCTATTAGATAAACTTGAAGAGTTGAAGAAAACAAATAGAAATTGTGAATATATGAATGACTCGAAGAACGAGAAGATCAAGTGATATTCCCACAGTCACTCGATCCCGTTGTCTTCCTCGACGGGAGCCAAATGCGAATAAATATGTATTATAAATAAATTAGGTTAAGAAGATATTACAGTTATGACTGCAACCCAGAGATTTAGAACGAACGAAAGAAAATAGTCGTGTGATGAAGCGAAATCATTTTTTGTACACCTCATTTTCTACACCCATCATTATCATTCAAATTCCATATTTCGTTGGATACATGATCATTCATTCCGATTATACTCCACCGTGAGCTGCAGCTGACCATCAACAAATTATTGAAAATATTCAATGTATTAAATATGATAAACTGAATGATTGTAACTAGATGTGAAGATATGACATTGTCACTCACAATTTTTGTTATAATCCTGTAAAATCTAGATATACGAACTGCAAAGAAGTGGAATTAACTAGTTAA